ATTTAAATCAAAATGCTATTTAAAATATATACACAACAAATGCCGAATAGCATTGAGCATCCACCTTTATCAACCACTTGAAGATCTCATACTAATAACATTCAATATACCAAATTAATAATTCAAATATAAAATTGGAAGAATATCATGACAAGGAACTATCTTGATAACTTCATATATTCTCCTCAGTTATATTTGGTTAAATGTTTGCGGAAAGGTAGATTATAGAAAAGCTTGAAGAAGATATAAATTATAATAAAGAGATGTATTACAAATGGACCCAAAGAACTTTGGTGTTAAGACCACCTTGGACGCCCATAAAAGACAAGAGAGAGAGAGAGAGAGAGAGAGAGAGAGAGAGAGAGAGAGAGAGAGAGAGAGAGAGAGAGAGAGAGAGAGAGAGAGACCTCCCAGCCAGTATAGAAACACCTTTCTATCAATATTACTAACAATACATATATCTACGCAATATCAAGAAAAAAAAGACAAAAATCTCAAAAAACAAAACAAAATCAACCTGTACCTTAACATCGGTAGAGTCTCAGCTAATATTGATGCTGGCTTTTACGAAGCTCATTCTAGCTTCAACTCAAAATAAATGTTAATCCCAGTTTTATACTCAGGAATATCAGAAATATTCATTGTACGAATCTTGGAATCTTTTTTTTCTTTTTCACGAATTTTGAGGTAAGTCACAGCGCGGCGTACCATCACTGCTCATACATACAGACGTGAAAGTAAAAGCCAGGCAAATTTCTAGGTAAATTACACACTGTATTGACACAACCATTTTCCCATCATTGATCAAAACCAACACACACACACACACACACACACACACACACACACACACACACACACACACAACACACAAAAAAAAATTTCAAATTAAAATATAAATCAAACTTTTTTTTTCTTTGTTTTATGAATTGCCAAATATATATAAAAACCTAGATACCCTTGAAAATACTATCCAAATAAATCATAACAAGATATTATTTTGACGCATCTTGACTATCATCTATATTTGTCGTAGTTGAAAGCCAAATCTTCACTTACGGGAAAAATACTTAACGTAGTGTTTGAGAAATTAGGAGACCTTATGTAAGAACACTCAACAAATGAGTTCCAAATTATTACAACAACACTTGAATGAGGGTCAGTTACTCAGCTCTTTAGGAGGCGAGGAAGAGCAGAAAAGGCGAAAAAGAGAAATGAATGAGAAAATGAAGTGAAAAGGAAATGAATGAGAAAATGAGGCAATACATAAAATTAACAAGAAATAAAGTGAGAGAAAATGAAAAAAATGAAGTAAAAGGAAAATGAAAAAGAAATTAATGAAAAGAAATTAAATGAAATTAAATAATAATAAAAGAAAATGAATTAGTGAGAAATAAAACAATGGAATGAAATGGAAATGAATAAGAAATCAAAACAATAGAAAAGAAAATGAATAAGAATAAATGAAAAAATTAAATAATGAAAAAGAAATTAATAATAAAAAATTAACTAACAATAAATGAATAATACGAACAAAAAGAGAAAAAACAATGAAAGAAATGAATAAAATACAAAAAAAAATACAAAAGAAAAGAAATATGAAAAATTATAATATTCTAAACACAAAAACAAAATAAACACAAAACTACGAAACAAGAAAATAAAACAAAATAAAACATACAAGTTAAACCAAGACAAAAATCAAAACAAATGAAATAAAAAACAAAAAAAGTTGAATAGACAATAATAATGAAAATCAGAACGAATAAAGAAACTACAGATAACAACAAACAAAGGAAAAAATAAACAAAAAGAATACTAAAAAATTAATGATTAAAAGACGAAAAACAAAAGAAGAAGAAGAAGAAGAAGAAGAAGAAGAAGAAGAAGAAGAATAAAGAAGTAAAGAATAAGACAAAAGAACACAGGAAAACTAAACGGAAATAAAAGGAAACAAGAGAAAACAAAATTGTATATAGAGGAATGAAACCAGTGAAGGTCTATTGAAGCAGTGAGGAGGAGAAGGAAGGAGAGAAGGTGAATAGAGGAGAGAAGGTGAATATAGGGAAAAGAAATAAAGGAGACAAGGTGACTAGGAGAGAAGGTGAATATAAAAAAAAAAAAAATATAGAGAGAGAATATAGGAGAGAAAAGAAAATATAGGGAGAGAAGATGAATATAGGAGAGAAGGTGAATATAGGGAGAGAAGAGGAATATAGGGAGAGGAAGGGTGAATAGGGGAGAGAAGGGTGAATAGAGAGAAGGGTGAATATAGAGAGAAGAATAACTATAGGAGAAGGAGGAATATAGGGAGAGAAGGGTGAATAGAAGAGAAGAGGAATATAGGGAGAGAAGGTGAATAGGAGAGAAGAATAACTATAGGGAGAGAAAGGGTGAATATAAGGAGAAGGGGGTGAATATAGGAGAAGAGAACAGGGAGAGGAGGTGAATATAGGGAGAGAAGGTGAATATAGGGAGAGAAATAACTAGAGGGGAGAAGGATGAATATAGGGAGAGAAGGGTGAATATAGGGAAGAGAAGAGGAATATAGGGAGAGAAGGGTGAATATAGAGAGAAGGGTGAATATAGGAGAGAATAATAACTAGAGGGGAGAGAAGAGTGAATATAGGGAGAGAAGGGGTGAATAAGGGAGAGAAGGTGAATATAGGGAGAAAAAACTAAGGGGGAAAAAAAAGAGAAGAGTGAATATAGGAGAGAAGGGTGAATATAGGGAAAGGGAGAGAATAATAACTAGAGGAAAAGAGAGAAGGTAAAAGGAGAGAAGGGTGAATAAAAAAAGAGAGAATAATAACTAGAAAGAGAAGAGTGAATATAGGAGAGAAGGTGAATATAGGAAGAGAAGAGGAATATAGAGAGAAGGGTGAATATAGGGAGAGAGGGGTGAATATAGGGAGAGAATAATAACCAGAGGGAGAGAAGAGTGAATATAGGAGAGAAGGTGAATATAGGGAAGAGAAGAGGAATATAGGGAGAGAAGGGTGAATATAGAGAGAAGGGGTAGGGAAGAATAACTAGAGGGAGAGAAGAGTGAATATAGGGAGAGAAGGGTGAATATAGGGAGAGAAGGGTGAATAGGGAGAGAATAATAACTAGAGAGAGAAGAGGAATATAGGGAGAGAGGGTGAATATAGGGGAAGAGAAGAGTGAATATAGGGAGAGAAGGGTGAATAGGGAGAGAAGGGTGAATATAGGGAGAGAATAATAACTAGAGGGAGAGAAGAGTGAATATAGGAGAGAAGGTGAATATAGGAAGAGAAGAGTAATTAGGGGAGAGAAGGGTGAATATAGGGAGAGAAGAATAACTAGAGAGAAGAGTGAATATAGGGAGAAGGGTGAATATAGGAAGAGAAGAGTGAAGGGAGAAGGGTGAATATAGGGAGAGAAGGGTGACTATAGGGAGAGAAGGGTGAATAGGAGAGAAGTGTGAATATAGGAGAGAAGGTGACTAGGGAGAGAAGGGTGAATATAGGGAGAGAAGGGTGAATATAAGGAGAGAAGGGTGAATATAGGAGAGAAGGGTGAATATAGGGGAGAAGGGTGAATAAGGAGAGAAGGGAATATAGGGAGAGAAGGTGAATATAGGAGAGAAGGTGAATAGGAAGAGAAAGGTGAAAAGGAGAGGAGGGTGAATATAGGAAGAGAAAGGTGAATAAAGGGAGATAACGAAAAATAGGGGAGAAAAGGGTGAATATAGAGGAGGGTGAATACAGGCAGCCCCCACACCCAGAGATACACCCCTCTGGCGCCTCAAACACCCGGGTACACACCCTGGCAGCCTCCTACACCCAGGCACACACCATGGCAGCCCCTATACCCAGGCACACACCCTGGCAGCCTCCCACACCCAGGTACACACCCTGGCAGCCTCCTATTCAAAGGTACACATGTCGGCAGCCTCCCACACCCAGGCACACACCCCAGCAGCCTCCCACACCCGGCACACCCCTGGCAGCACCTCCCTACACCCAGGTGCACACCCTGGCAGCCTCCCTATACACAGCACACCTTTGGCAGCCTCCCCACACCCACAGGGCTAAACCCTCTGGCAGCCCCTATACCCAGGCACACACCCTGGCAGCCTCCCTATACCCAGGGACACACCCTGGCAGCTCTCACACCCAGGCACACACTGCAGAATCCCACACCCAGGTACACACCCTGGCAGCCTCCTACACCCAGGTGCACTTGGCAGCCTTCCCACCCAGGGACACACCCTGGCAGCTCCCACCCAGGTGCACACCCTGGCAGCCCCACACCCTGGTACACACCCTGGCAGCCCCACACCCAGGGCCACCCTCTGGCAGCCTCCCCACACCCAGCACACCTCTGGCAGCCTCCCCCACACCCAGGTACACCCTCTCGCAGCCTCCACACCCAGGTATACACCTGCACACCCCAACAGCCTCCCACACACCAGGCACACCCTCTGGCAGGCTCCCTACACCCAGCCACACCCTCTGGCTGGCGTCTCACACCCTTGTACACCCCCTCTAGCAGCCTCCCACACCAGGCACACCCTCTGGCAGCCTCCCTACACCCAGGCACACCCTGGCAGCCTCCCACACCAGGTATACACCCCTGGCAGCCTCTCACACCCAGGTACACACCCTAGCCTTCCTACACCCAGGTACACCCTCTGGCAGCCTCACACCCAGGCCACACCTTCTTGCTGCTCCAAACCCTTGTACACCCTCTAGCAGCCTCACACCCAGGCACACCCTCTGGCAGCCTCCCCACACCAGCTCCCTGTCCAACCCTGCACACCCTCTAGCAGCCTCCCACACCCAGGCACACCCCTCTGGCACCCACACCCTGGACAGCCTCCACACCAGGCACACCCTCTGCAGCCCTCCACACCCAGGGACACACCCTGGCAGCCTCCACACCCAGGGACACTTCTGGCAGCTTCCCACACCCAGGACACCTCCCTGGCAGCCTCCTAAACCCAGGCACACCCTCTGGCAGCCTTTCACACCCAGAGACACACCTGGCAGCCTCCTGACAGCCTCCTACACCCAGGTACACCTCTGGCAGCCTCCCACACCCAGGGACACACCCTGGCAGCCTCCACACCCAGGACACTTCTGGCAGCTTCTACCCAGGACACACCCTGGCAGCCCCTCACACCCAGGGACACTTCTGGCAGCTTCTACACCCAGGACCTTCTGGCACCTCACACAGGCACACCTCTGCAGCCTCTACACTCAGGGACACACTGGCAGCCTCCTACACCCAGGACACTTCCTGGCAGCCTTACACCCAGGGACACACCCTGGCAGCCTCCTACACCCAGGGACACCTCCCCAGCAGCTTCCACACCCAGGACACTTCCCTGGCAGCCTCCCACACTCAGGCACACCCTCTGGCAACCCCCTACACCCAGGGGCACACCCCTGGCAGCCTCACACCCAGGCACACCCTCTGGCAGCCCTACACCCAGGACACACCCTGACAGCCTCCTACACCCAGGCACCCTTGCAGCCACCCCAGGGACACACCCACAGCTCCCACCCAGGCACACCCTCTGGCAGCCTTCTACACCAAGGTACAAACCCCTGACAGCCTTCTTACACGTACATGACTGCCGGAGCTCCTGGGGAAGACAAAACAGGTAAGCAGGCGATTAATCAAACCCCCGCCAATTTTCCCCTGGTATCATCATCTCAAACTAATCAATTTCCTGCCAATCACGGCAAAACCATCCTTCTGCCCTCGCCTCACTGCCGCTCTCTGAGGGTAAACTGCTAGAATTAGCAATTTACGCCAACTTCCCTGAATCCCGAGTTAGCAAAGTTTCTGCAATGTCGAGCGGAAAGCGTCGTCGAGGCGAAGGAGAGGTTAGGTAAACCTGGCTTGGTGGTAGCACGTTTTTTTCCTTTACCTACAGCGACGCAGGGATTTCTAATGGAGGTTTACAATGGTTTACTTAGGTGTGCAGGGAGGGTATTAGAGGCTGGGAGAGTCCATTAAGTGGTGGGGGTGGTGAAGAGCTGGCAGAGTCCATTATAGTGGTGGGGAGTGAAGAGGTGGCAGACACCAATATAGTGGTGGGGGAGAAGAGGTGGCAGAGTCCATTATAGTGGTGGGGGTGAAGACAGCAGACACCAATATAGTGGTGGGGAGGAAGAAGTGGCAGAGTCCATTATAGTGGGGAGGAAGAGGTGGCAGAGTCCATTATAGTGGTGGGGGAGTGAAGAACTGGCAGACACCAATATAGGTGGGGGGAGGAAGAGGTGGCAGAGTCCATTATAGTGGTGGGGAGGAAGAGCTGGCAGACACCAATATAGTGGTGGGGGGAGGAAGAAGTGGCAGTCCATTATAGTGGTGGGGGAGGAAGAGGTGGCAGAGTCCATTATAGTGGTGGGGGTGAAGAGGTGGCAGAGTCCCATTATAGTGGTGGGGAGGAAGAGGTGGCAGAGTCCATTATAGTGGGGGTGAAGAGGTGGCAGAGTCCATAGTGGTGGGGTAGTGAAGAGCTGGCAAAGTCCATTATAGTGGGGGTGAAGAGGCAAAGTCCATATAGTGGTGGGGGGAGGAAGAGGTGGCAGAGTCCATTAGTGGTGGGGGGTGAAGAGGTGGCAGAGTCCATTATAGTGGTGGGGAGTGAAGTGGTGGCAGAGTCCATTATAGTGGTGGGGAGTGAAGAGGTGGCAGAGTCCATTATAGTGGTGGGGGGAGTGAAGAGGTGGCAAAGTCCATTATAGTGGTGGGGGAGTGAAGAGGCTGGCAGAGTCCATTATAGTGGTGGGGGAGTGAAGAGGTGCAGAGTCCATTATAGTAGTGGGGGTGAGGAGAGGTGGCAGAGTCCCTTATTGCATTGGGTGGCTAAATCCAGACATTTATCATCAGGTGAGAAATTAAAGTAATAACGACAAGGAACAGAATGATAAATGTGAGAAACAATGAAGAAAATGATGAAAAAGAGAGAGTGAAAGGATTAGGAGAAGATAATGAAGAAAATAAAACAATAATGAAGATAAGGTAAGTGAAGAAAATAAAGCAGATAAAAATGAAGAAAATAAAACTGATAATAATGAAGATAAGGTGAAGAGAGAGAGGAAGAAAATTGAACAGATGACAAAGAAGATAAGATGAAGGCAATGAAATGATGGAAGGAAAATATATATGGAGAAAATGAAGAAATTGGAATAAAAACTGAAGAAACGAAAATTGCAATTGAAGAAATTAGAAGACATGAATACAAACAAAAGAAGAAAAAATTAATAAGTAATAAATTAAAAAAGTAAATACAAATAAAAAGAAATGAGTTCAGAAAAAAATCAAGGAGAAGAAAATATAAAACAGAAAGATGGAAGAAGGAAAACAGATGTTATTAAACAGAAAACTGGAGAAATGGGAATGAGACAGAGATAAAAACTAATAGGATATAACATTAAAAAAGTAAAATAATTAAAAATATATAATAAATGAGAAAAAGGAAAGACAATAATAGAAAGAAAATAATCGAGAAATAAAATACGAATCAGCGAATAACAAAAGACAAATAAAACAACAAAATAAGAAAATGACAAAAAAGGATAAAAAAAAGAAGATAAAGGAGAATAATTAAACAAGACAAAAATTAAATACAAAAAATAAAATGAACATAAAAAAAACTTATAAAATCATAAGAAAAAAATAAGAAGAATGGAACAAAGAAAACGGATAAACAGTAAAAGAAAAAAATTAAATAATAAAAGGAGACGAAAAGAGAATGAAAAAAGATGGCACGAATTATTAAAATAACAAAACGGAGAATAAAAGAAATGAAGGAAAGAAAGCCAAATGAATGAGCCTGATTATAAGGTAACGTCAGGTGAGTAAGAGCAGACAGTGAGCAGTGAGCAGTGAGCAGTGGACAGTGAGCAGTGGACAGTGAGCAGTGGACGGTGATCAGTAGAGAGAGCAGTGGACAGTGAGCAGGACAGTGAGCCGTGGACAGAGCGGTGGACAGTGATCAGAGCAGGAGCAGGACAGGAGCAGAGCAGGACAGTGACAGTGAGCAGTGAGTGTGAGGTGGGACAGTGGACAGTGAGCAGTGGACAGTGAGCAGTGGGTAGTAAGTGGACAGTGAGGTGAGCAAAGTGGGCAGTGAGCAGTGGAAGTAAGCAGTGGTTAGTGAGCAGGGGTGTAAGCAGGGACAAAGGTTAGTGAGCAGGACAGGTGGACAGTAGGCGGACAGAGCAGGGTGAGCAGTGGACAGTGAGGAAGCAGGGGTAGTGGACAGAGTAGTGGGACAGGAGCAGTGACAGGAGCAGCATGCAGTGGACAGTGAGCAGTGGAGGAGGAGCAGGGGTGAGCAGGACAGTGAGCAGTAAGCAGGGTAGTGGACAGAGCAGTAAACAGGACAGTGAGCAGTGAGCAGTGGACAGGGATAGTGAGCAGGACGAGTGGGCAGTAAACAGACAGAGCAGTGGACAGTGAGCAGGGACAGTGAGCAGGACAGGGATAGTGAGCAGGGACAGTGGATGGAGGAGTAGTGGACAGTGGAGCACAGGGGAGCAGGACAGTGAGGCAAAGGGTGGGTAGTGGACAGTGAGCAGTAAACAGTGGACAGGAGCAGGAGTGGACAGGGATAGTGAGCAGTGGACAGGAGAGGGAAGTGAGCAATAGACAGAGGCAGGACAGTGAGTGGACAGTGAGCAGTGGACAGTGGATAGTGAGCAGTGGACAGGATAGTGAGTAGTGGACAGGAGTAGATGGTGGACAGGAGTGTAAGTGTGGGTAGTGGACAGTGAGAGTAAGCAGTGGACAGTGAGCATTGGATGTGAGCAGGACAGGAGAAACAGTGGGTAGTGAGTAGTGGACAGTGAGCAGGACAGAGCAAATAGTGGACAATGAGCAACAGTGGAGGAGGGCAGAGCAGTGGACAGAGTAGGGACAGTGAGTAGTGGACAGTGAGCAATGGACAGTGAGCAGTGGACAGGAGCAGGGACAGTGGATAGGAGTAGTGGACAGTGAGCAGCAAACAGTGGACAGAGCAGTGAGCAGTGGACAGTGAGCAGGACAGTGAGCAATGGACAGTGAGTAGACAGTGAGCAATGGACAGTGAGCAGGGACAGAGCAGGACAGGAGCAGTAAACAGGGGCAGTGAGTAGTGGACAGTGAGCAGTGGACAGGAGCAGTAAACAGTGGGCAGTGAGCAGTGGGCAGTGAGCAATGGACAGTGAGCAGTGGACAGTAAACAGTGGGCAGTGAGCAGTGGGCAGTGAGCAATGGACAGGAGCAGGGAAGTGAGCAGGAACAAAACAGTGGACAGTGAGTGGATAGTGAGCAGCAAGCAGGGTACTGAGCAGTGGACAGTGAGCAGTGGATAGTGAGCAGTGAGCCAGAACCAGTGATTATAAACTATGTACATTTTCAGACGTATATGAGTGTGTACACACTGCCCATATGTATGTACACCTACCACCACAATCCCTCTTTTCATGATAACAAGAATTTATCAAAGGCTTGTAAAAACTCGGCTTTTATGTATATTTCAATGCATTGTACTTTGTCATCTGTATATAAAGCCTGTGTGTGTGTGTGTGTGTGTGTGTGTGTGTGTGTGTGTGTGTGTGTGTGTGTGTGTGTGTGTGTGTGTGTGTGTGTGTGTGTGTGTGTGTGTGTGTGTGTGTGTGTGTGTGTGTGTGTGTGTGTGTGTGTGTGTGTGTGTGTGTGTGTGTGTGTGTGTGTGTGTGTGTGCGTGCGTGTGTGTGTGTGTGTGTGTGTGTGTGTGTGTGTGTGTGTGTGTGTGTGTGTGTGTGTGTGTGTGTGTGTGTGTGTGTGTGTGTGTGTGTGTGTGTGTGTGTGTGTGTGTGTGTGTGTGTGTGTGTGTGTGTGTGTGTGTGTGTGTGTGCGCATGTGTGTGTGTGTGTGTGTGTGTGTGTGTGTGTGTGTGTGTGTGTGTGTGTGTGTGTGTGTGTGTGTGTGTGTGTGTGTGTGTGTGTGTGTGTGTGTGTGTGTGTGTGTGTGTGTGTGTGTGTGTGTGTGTGTGTGTGTGTGTGTGTGTGTGTGTGTGTGTGTGTGTGTGTGTGTGTGTGTGTGTGTGT